TTTTTCCTTTCTCCAGAGATCCTTGAGAAAGTGGGAGCTGGAGAAGCACAAAGGAAGAAAAGACGCAATAGTTTCAACCCGATGTGGTAAATCTCAGTGGTTCTTGAAAGTTGCCATGGCTACAAACTCAGCTTGTAGGGATGAGAACAAATGTTTTGCCAGTATGTCTGTAACTCTTTAAACAGCTTCAACTTTATTTATATTTGGAGTACTTTTTGGGCGATCTTGTCTTTCTGAATGACAGTTTGAGAGAAACTTTGGTCTTTTTTTTTAAATTGGTTGAAAAGAAAACCTAATATAACCGATTTGAGTTTAAATATGTAAGAGACAAATATCCATAGCAATTTCCTGGGTGAGCACCAATGAGGGTGCAATGCTGTCTCTTTAGACAAGTTGTGCTGTTCAAGCTGAAAAGATAACACACAACCAAAGGATGACATTGAGTCAGGTCTGGTCGGCAAAGAATCTCTTTTTTCTCATCGTGTCTGAATGTTAATATTAGTCGACCTTGCAGTTTAGTTCTGCAACACTTTCCTTTATCCACTGCTTTTGCAAGCAGAGCTCAATTGATGAGTTATATGAGTATATGTGTTCTTAGCTTCTGTGCACAAGTCATGACACCCCTTGGACAATAAAAGCCAACATCATCATCCGTGGGGAACAGGGTTTTTGTCTTTCTGAATGAGATGCCCGTCAGCACGTTAACGATTAACCACTCTCTTCTTTGTATGAGTTGGTCTTAATTTTGTGTCACGAGTTTATTTTGTGTAATTACTTCTCTACCATACAGACATACTTCATCCAGGAACGTGTTCAGACCTGCACACGCACTTAACAGCAACTTTGTCTCTCCTGGGCCACGGATTGTAAAAATGACACCCACACACAGACTGTGAAGGCAGTAAAAACATTCAAAAGCAAGAAGTGTTTAGTTTAATATCATGAGAATTGAGTATAGCTGTTTAAATTGTGTTGAAGAAGAGAGGACACATGGAGAAAGAGACAATTAACCATGCATTAAACAGGAAATGTCTCCCACTTCAAAAAGCTCTAGTGTCTTCTTCATTAGATACATTTCAGAATTACAATAAGGAAACATCATTATCCTGAAAGCAAGTAACTATTGGTTATGTAACCCATTTGTTATTCTTGCCTCACTTGTGATTAGGGTGAGATCAATACCAGCCCTTCCCGCATCGAACAAGTTAGAACTTAGTGGTTCTGACATTGATGGAAGCAGCCTGATGCATCGGTAACAAGTCATATGCATGACATGTTGTTGCTCAATATCTAATACAGATTTTATTGAATGCTATTAGGAAATTAGGGTATAAAAGTCCTTTTAGGGGTGCAACATGTTTGCTGTCAGGGTTTAAAATGAAAATCAGTGTTTTGGTTGTAATTGAAAAGATTATCTATGATTTTACACAATCTATATGTGTGTTGTGAATGCTTCTTGCTCTTCTTCTAACATGCTTGTGACCACATGACATGTAAGCTCAGTGTCTTTAAAAAGAGTTAGTCTTCTGTGTTTTCTAAGGTGCAGATGCCATCTTGAATTTGGTTTATTGACATTATCAATCAGTTGTACATCTATATCTAGTGAAAACTTTCTGTGAGGTTAATGGAAATGCATTCATTAAATGATTTTCTAATTAACACAAAGGCAAAAGCATTAAGCCCATTTCCACTATTTGAACATCCTGGTAATTTTTCTGGACTGTTGCAACATTTGAAATGGCCCAGACCATTTTCTGGACCATTTCAGTAACCAACAGAGTGCCTGAACTGGGCAGGTAGAGTCACCAAGCAGTAAAAGTAAAACAGTGAACCTGCTCATTAATACCCATGGGGACCGTTTGGTGCTGTGACATCACTTATTACCAAAGCAGGCGAAATATGCTGATGCCTGTGCAAAGTCCTGGAAGAGCCGCTTTTGTATGGAAACACAGCATCTGAGAGGACGAAGCCAGCATAGCTCTATCCCAGACATTTCCTGGAACTCCTATAGAAGGAACAGGGCTAGCCATGCTTTCACGTTAGAGCAGCAGGTCATTGCTTTAATTACTGATACCAGCAGCATGTTTCTTCAAAAACAATTAACAAAACTAAATGTTTTACTTAATAACAGTGATCTGAGACTGTTGTTGATTTGCACTAAAACAACAATGAAATAAGAATGTTGTGAGTTCAGCCTTAAAGGTGCATTATGTAGAAATGAAGTAAAAATTACACCTGTGGTAAAATTTGATTACTGCAACTACAACTATGGAGCTCTTTGCCGGCCGTCATCAAATTACAATTGTTGGAGCTGCAGTATTAGCTTGCAGGAGACACTCCAACCCTACACTCACTGATGGTATACAGTAGTTACGTCTCTCCTTCCTTCCAGCCAGCTGGATATGAAATGTGGTTCAGCATAACCTTTCTTCCAAAATGACCAATTAGACTCTGTGATTTTCTCATTGTAAAATTCGCATTATATTCTTACATACTGCACCTTTAAAGCTGCTGTATCAAATCTACAGAACAAGCTGGTTTTCACTTAACGCTCACCCCTCCCCTCAGCTATCTTACCTGCGACACTTTTGCCGGAATCGGAAACCCACATTGTTAGAGGATACGAGGTAGCACTAAACACCAGTTTCTTGGACCTTGGACACCTCTCTTCCAGTACCGCATGCCTCTGCTCTTCATGTCCAGCACCACGGACAGAATTCTTCCTGCTCACCTCGTTCCAGCACCAAGGACAGCGCTGTAACCAGCTTCTGTCTTGTCCCTCCTTCCACCTGCTGCTGTTTGCACAGCCGATCGTCATCAGGTGATCAGCAGAAGAGTCTTCAAAAGGCTGGGAAGACCAGACCTGCAGGGGACTCAGTGAAGGTCTAAGACACCCAGATCACTTTGTTTGAGCATTTCTGGTACTAGTGATCTTGGTCTGTCACGAGATTGATTAATAGACTTCATTGTTAATGTGGAAGTCTTGTTGAGTCCTATACTGCCAAGCTACAGAGCTGGGCTGACAATATCTGAGCTTTCACTAACACAGCCTGTTTGCTCTTAGGGCAAGTTGTTATGTGTTGAGGAGTGTTTAGAACTCTCCCTCTTTGGTTTATTTGATTTTATTAAGAGGGTTAACGCCCAATAAGGGATTTTAGGTATTTACTTATGTTTTTGTGTTTTCTCCAGAAATGTCGGTGGTCCTTGCTGATGCAGTAAGTTTTAGTTAAGTCCAGTGACTGTTAAATAAGGGATGTACCTAGCTGTTTCTTTTGGTTAAACCCTACACCTGCTTCTCTTGTGTTACACTCCCTCCTTCATCTTACCAACTCGTCGTAACACCGCAACTTCAAAAGGTGTCCTTTTTGGGACTCTGGTAGCTGTACACAGATGCAATCAGCTTTGTCATGACCTCAAATGTGCCCCAACTGTAGAATTTTTTTAAATCAAAACTGAAAGCCTTCATGTTTTCATCAGTTTTTAAATAAATGTTCTTAAGCTGCACCTTCTGCACTGTATTTGCACACCATTTAACTTTAACTTTGTTTCTTTTTCATTTTTAAATTGTATTTTCTGTTATGTTGATTTTAATGTACTTGCTAATGTAAAGCACATTGAATTGCCTCTGTGTATGACATGTGCTATATAGATAAAGCTGCCTTGCCCAGTTTGTCCTAAAGTTGAAGCGGTAGCAGCCGGCTGTTTCTCCCTCTCTGATATAATTGAGAGAAGAACCTCTCACACCAGTTGTGTTCTGTTGCTAATTACATGAGTGTGTAATGAGTGGAGGACCCATGGACGTGCAGTGGTTCAGCAAGACCGACAACCGGATGGTCCAGCAGTTGCTTTTGGTTCAAACGTGTAATTGGTGAGGGTTTTCAGACAAATGTAAGATTATTCATTTTATTGTTTTCTTATCACAGCATACGTACAGCTATACTATGATAGAATGTTGTTAAGAGGAATGAAATTTTTTTCTAGTACATTTATTTTACTCCGTTTTTTAACTCTTATAAAACTTTCCCCCCATTTATATTTAAAAATCAAGGATTATAAACCAGACAAATGTACTAGTCACACTGCATAGTTTTGGTTTAATAATACATCAAAACAGGGCAACAATGTTCACATATTTATAGCCTGAAAAGTATTTTCAGCTATTTGAATAACACATTATCAGTTTGTTGTATGCTTTTTTTCATTGGAGGAAATTAGGAGTCATTCAAAAATTATCTTTTCAGAAATTTAAGCAAAAGCCTTCTTTTGATCCGAGCCACTTGCTGTTAACATGGAGATGGAAGACTTTTATGAAAGAGTCAATGTGGTTAAGTTACAATCACTTGCCTTTTCAACACAGAGAAATATCAGCAGCAAAGTGAGGATTTCAACCTAGAAAATGCCTTTTCTAGTGAGATGGGGATAATCCTTTAATTTGTTACAGCTGGAACAAATATTATGAATTGTGTCAGTAATCAGCATTGTTTTCGTACCTGTGAGCCCTATGCACTGATGTTTCACACCTGGATGGTAAACAAAAGGTTAAAATGCTGCTGACAACACATTTTAAATCAATAACGCTTTACTGATCAATATTTTTGAAAAACAGAAACATAATAGATTTTTTATTTCTGTTTTTATATCAAAAATATACAATTTTCTGCTATTAAACTTGTCTCTGATGCATGATGATCAGGAGTGCCTTGATAAATGTTTGTAACGATTGTCATATAAGAAGTTGCAGCAAGCTCAATACAAAAGAGAACAGTGCCCCCATTTTGCTCTCAGGGAGATTTCTGGACAGTTTCTATGGCTCTGCTGCAACCAGCCGAGGCGTCTCTGGTGCTCATCCACCCCGACGTGCACTGTACATGTCCGTGCATGGAGCATCTCTCCAACGCAGTGCGGCTTTAAGCGGAGCGGGGTTCTTAAATCTGCGCCTGGCTCCTCCTTCAAGCATGATGTCAGTGGAGGGGAGAGCGAGAGGGAGAGAGGTGGGCAGTGTTGGAGGAGCCGAGTTCATACAATACTACTGAGACATCTACAGCTTAGCAGACAGATACGGTGAACCGCCTATCCCGGCTCCTGTAAGTGATGCTGCACAGAGGCGCACTTTGATCCAACTCCACTGGGGGGAGGAGATGCGCTCTCCGCATCCCTCATTTAACAGTTTTCCGAGGGGCGCGCGCTACCTTAAATTAGTCGAAACAAGTGAGTGCTAAATAAATTGGGTTCAAGCTTTCATGTGTTCATTAACAGCATTTTTTCCTCCTTTTTTTTTTCCCTCGTGCGCATTTCTTTGCTGGATTAAACTTTTAATAACGTAAAAAAAGGCGTTTTACGCACGTGTTCCATCGGGGAAATTGATAATTTCTCCATAGCAAATCAGGTTAGGGATTTAAAAAATAACATTAAAGTTGGTGCAAAACAACCCTGGATCGCTGCGCATCTATCTCCGAGTGTTGGATTGTGAGTCCAAGACATCCGAAGAGGAATTACAGTCTCCTTTTTTTGATTCTTTAGCGAGAGAAAGAACAAAGTTGATCGCTGAGCTTCATTCTTTTACGCACAAGGAGCACGTTTTTAGCGCATGGATAAGTTTTTGTAGCGGATAACACCTTTTTTCCTCCACATTTCCACGGCCGATGCTGATGAGGACCCCTTCTCCTCCACTTCAGCTTAATTCATGGCACTTCTTTTTTGGTAAATCAGATGTCTCCTCGCGACGGCACTCACGGCTGATTGTTTCATCATTTTGAGCTGAGAAGGTGAGAGTTCTTTTTTTATTAGACTTGACTAATGGGATGAAAATGTGTTGCTTCAGCGTTCTATGGCCATGCACGGTTCTGGGCGCATTTTGGAGACGCATGGATTATGTGGTCGGCATGAAATTAAATTAATGCCCTGCATCGTTTCATACGAACTGGTGGCACTGGGGCTAATAATGTGAAAGCTAGTTGGATGAATCTGTTTTTCTGAGGCTCGGAAATCATTCGCAGATGAGAAACCGAATTTAAATGGACTTCACGTCGGACACAATCCAAGTTACCGCATTGTGTAGGTGCGTTGCATAGATGAACCTAACTTCGGACGTTATTTAGTCCTGATTGTGAGATGGACGGGTCCTAAAGTGCGTTCAGGTACTTTCAGCCCCGATTCTCAGCATCTTGGCCGCAAAGCTCGATGCGTGGGTGCGCGGAAACAGCGGCACCAGCGCGCCCCTGCCTGAGTGGTTCACGAGTCAGCCACCTCAGCAAATATATATAAAAAAATTGTATAATAATAATAATATATATATATATATATATATATATATATATATATATATATATATATATATATATATATATATAGTGAAATAATATTCCCATCTGACCTGCAAACATAAGCCACAGTTGGTCGCTGCAGTTCTTTAACTATTTGCTGTGCATGATCACTTACTTACAAAGCTCTTTGATCTGAACCTATAATTTGCTTCAGAAGCAGAACACTGATTTAAACTTCCCAAAGGGGAACCAAATGTCGTGCCTGACTAAAAATGTGTGACTAAAAAGTAGGACGTAGTAGAAGCAGAATTCTTATTTGTTTTGTCTGATGAAATAAACCTAAAATTCAACTAGTTGGGTTTAAAAAACACAAGTTCTTGAAAAATCATGATTTGATTATTTTAATCATTTGATTGCTTTCTGACGTCAGAAGTCTTTTCTTTGAGTTTTTTGTGTGTGTGCGTGTGTGTGTGGTTCCTGGAGTACCCATGTTCTCTCAGATCCTCTCAAGGAGTCCAAACTGTTATCTTTTCAATGTGATGTTAGTTCTCACCTTACTGGGTATTTCTCTTCACTGGTGTTCTTTTACAAAGGGAGGAACATCTCACTAATGCGCTAACACTGAATGTTTATCCCATTTCAGTTGGGTGTATTCTGATAATCACGAGTCCTTTCCATTAAGAGGCAATTGGATTAATTTAACTAACCCCACTGAACTTGTCTTTTAAACTGATTTCAGAGCCCATCTAGTATTTAAGTATAAAGCACTAATATTCTCAAGGATTCAGTGTTGTTGTTCCTCTAAAATCAATAAATCAGAAATAGACATCCTTGTTCTAATTGTGGTTTATTGTTTCAGATTGCCTTTTAACTGTGAGTTATTTCTTTGGCATTTATACTCATTGTAATATAATGGAAATGTACATTTTCTAAGAAAAATAAGTAACGAGTGTAATTTTATTTAGTGTTTGATTGGTTTTAGCATGTGTGGACTGCCCTCTTCAGGTTCACAATTAAAACACTGGGAATTAGCATGCCATTTTGGTAATAGAGAAGGGCAAGAAATATTACTCAGCGACTGTTTAATTGCCAACAAGTGCAGCTCTTCATGATCTAAACTCATCTAAAAATCATGATGCTAAATAAGTTGAGGAAAAAATACAAGGCTATTCAACCAAAAAGTATTACCACTAAGGGTAATCTGTATTAAAAGTGTTGTTTGTGGTTATCTGTTAGAAATACGGGCATCACATCATGGCTGTGGTTATAGAACTGAAGATAAACTACTTTAAATCCTTCCGCGATAATTTTTTTGACTCTGGACTGGAAAAGATGGTTGGATGTGGTTTATCCTAAAGGCAAAACAGAAAAAGGCTGTTAAAAAATGACACATTTGAGAAAAACTTTCACCAATAGTATTAATAGATGCAACAAGAAAAAAAAAAATAAACTTGCCTTTGACAGCTCAAAGGACTCCAACCCTCCTGGGACTCAGCTTCAGAGTGGCCACACTGAAAGTTTCCGATAAGGTCACCGTTGAGGTGAAGGTAGGGAGTGACAGTTGCGTTGCATCTCCTGTTTCGCTGCCACCTTCTACGGGCACAAACACCAGGAAGACCAGTCCATCACGCCGTTGTGTAAAAGGATCCGGGGCTGGTCAGCTCCTCTCCGCTCCGTCTCCCAAGAGGGAAGTTTGAGTTTGCCTTCTGGATCCAACCTGCTGCCTGGGACTCAGAATAGCATTTGAAGAGACTAGTGAAATGTAAGCAATGGAGACACTCTGACGGACACCTAGAATCTCCCTCTCTCTTACTTTTTTTTTTTAATCCCTGCAGCACAATTTCTCCTCTCACATAGTTTATCCCTCGTGGACAGGGTTGTAAAGAATTGTGACAAGTGAAAAAAAAGTGTAAATGTTGGGAAATGATGGCGGTGAAAAAAAGGAAAATTCTTTCCAGAGAATAAACAAAACAACTAAACAAAGCAGGAAGTAAGGTGTTTGGACCATGGGATGTTCAAAAGCAACATGTACTTGTTATCTAGACACAATCTAAGAAGCATAGCCGTACCAGTGGAGCTTTATAATTATACACCACTGCTTGATGTGGGAAAAAAACTGAACCCCATATTCTGGCAGTGCATTATCATCACTTACTAGAGAGAGGAAATCTAGATCATCCTTTGATCTATTCAGACTTTTCTCTTCACCAAATCACATTCTGTTCAGATGTAATTTAAACTTCATTATGTGAGCCCGGCCTCGGACTGTGTGGCCATCATCCCACTGCTGCTCAAAAGAGCTGCGTTTCTAACTAAAGTTTGTCACTTTTACTAATAGGATATATCTCACTGGTAATTTGACAGAACAGCAAAGCCTCTGCTGGATGTGCAGAATTAAAAAAAACACTAACTAAAAACAGAAAAATCCCTTTACTGATCAATGCCGGCCATGGTTTTTCAGCCCAACTGTTCTGTAATGAGTCTCGTGTGACCGCTTTATAGGATGTGTGAAGTTTGTCTTTACATGTTTCATGGATGCTTTTTTTCCCACCGGTGTTAGAGATTCAAAGTCATCTTTAATCAATCCCTTCATTTTTGTCAGCCAGACGAGAGCTTCGGTGGCAATGAGCACTTGTGCCTTGTCAATTTAGACGGCCCCCCGTTGTTCGGTTTAGGTAGTCGCACCATTTTAGGAGATTGACTCATGTTAGGAGAGGGGGGTGGGGAGTTTTATTAAAAAGGAAATATGATGCTCAAAGAGCTTCTCTTGACAACAGGTATGTGCATGCTTAAAGCACCATCTGGAATGTGTTTGTGTGAGGACTGTCACGCAGCCTTTGCCATTCTCTCAAAGAAATGAATGTTTGATTTCAAGGCAGCCGCATTATGAATACAAACCAATATCTTGAAGAAAGTCATGTGCAGGTAATAAACAGTCAGACTCAAACACACAGTGAGGGACAGGTAATGAAATTAGCCGGTACATATATTGTGGCGGACTGCAGATAAGCAGGCGGTATTTTGATGAGAAGGGAATATGTTGGCGCTAGTATTATGGTGGCTGTGATGTGCTGGTTTTCTGTTAAAGAGCACAAATATATGTTTATAGCTGCATCAGATTTCAGCTGCCAGAAGCTTATTAAAACCTGTGTGGACAAACCGGAATTGACCTGGGTGATTGTGATGGAAATGATGGAATACATTTGTTAAACATGTTTGATAATGGGTTGAATGAATGAATAAGTCAAAATGTCAGCTAGAAAACCACACAGTGTAACTCCCTGGTAACCTACTAATTAACTGGTGGAAAGCAGTCAATATTTTGTTCTTGCATCTACTGGCAGGGAAGGGCTTCCCGAGCATGACGCCTTCATCATATTCCAATGACCTACTTGGGTTTTGGCAGTTTGGGTTCCTGCCCTTTGGCGAGTTTCTACACACATCAGACTGTCAAAGATTTTGTATTACACGAGCATCAGATGATTTGGAGCACCTGACAAGGTTTCTGCACAGCATTTAGGGTCTTTATCATTCCAAACTAACACGATGGTTTCTGTTTGATGTGGAAAAAACTTTATTGGGATTCAGTGAAGTAATAATTAAATGCCACTTATTTGACTGATGGTGTCTTTCACCGTGAACAATCGTGTTCCGGTCTCCTTCCATCACCATTTCTCCAAGCAGCGCTCTTATCTCACTGTGCTTGCTTACTCACATGGGCCTACATGAAATGTTTGAGAGCTCAGTTGTTTACATTCAGAACAAATGAGGCTCTCCATTAATAGCTTCTGTCAAGCAGCACAAGTGCAAGTGTTTATGTGTATCCTTGCGTGAAAGCACCGACGCTTAAGGCTTAGTTCTGCTTCCTCCAAATGAGCTGAAATCTGGATGCGAGGTGTACTTTATAAAGATTCTACCACTTCGTTTTCACTGATTCAGACGGAAATTCGTGTTTGGCATACTGTCTCTTCTTTTCCTTACCCAGACCTGGTGGTTTATGTAAAAGCTTTTAAAGCAACAGCTTTCTCACTTGTGAATAATGATTTAAAACAACAATGAAATGGACTGACAGAATGTGTGAACTGGTAACCTTTACTTGTGTCCTTGCTCAGTCGATTCCAGCAAAGGTTAATTGTGGAAAATCGCCATTATTTGCTCCTAAAGACTTGGGAAGGTTGTTGGAGTATAAGCAATGAGAATAAAGAGGTCATGTTGAAAACTCTCTTTGAGAAAATAGCCCTAATTGCAGCAGAGCACACCATTTCTTTTATTGACGTTGTCTTTTCTGTCCTCTCTTTTCCTTTCCTTCTTCTTTTCTCCAGAGAGAATTGCTGCAGTAGACGTGAAGCTCCCGTCTTGCTTTGAGCATGAACTTGCCAAGTCAGGCACATGTGCTGGTGATCTCGCTCACCTGTTTGGTCTTACTATGCAAGGCCCAGGAGAGGGACTACATCGTGAAGGAGGAGCAGCCGGAGAATGTCCGCATTGGGAATCTGCGCAAGGACCTCGACTTCCACCTCGACCCCAACATCCGGCTTTCCTCGCCGCTGCAGTTCAAGCCCGTGTACAAAACCGGCGATGTGCCTTTGGTGAGGGTGGAGGCCAACACGGGGGAGATATTTACCACAAATCATCGAATTGACCGGGAGAAGCTGTGCTCAGGAGTCTTCACCGAGAAACGCTGCTACTATGAGATCGAGGTGGCGGTGCTGCCTGATGAGATATTCAGATTGGTCAAGATCCGTTTCCTGATCGAGGATGTGAATGACAACGCGCCCCTTTTCCAATCCACTGTCATAAACATCTCCATTCCAGAGAACACAGCCATCAACACCCGATACCCAGTGCCGTCGGCGTTTGACCCTGATGTTGGGATCAATGGGATCCAGCACTACGAACTGGTCAAGGTGAGGACTCATCATTTATGTAAATTTAAAAAAATTAAACAAAGATCATGTAGATCAGCTCTGTTTGATTCATGTGTAAAACCAGGAATTTTTCTGTTTCTGTAGAAAGCATTCAAGATTTTTTCCCTGTGTAGCGGTTTACATCTCATTAACTTCTCTTTTAATGTTGGGTGGCCTTTGTTTAGTGAAATAGAGTTCACGTTCTAGAAGCCTCTAACTAGCTAACAGCTATTCTGAGTGCAGACAACACCAACATGTGATGCTGTTGTATTTCAAAAGCTCCAATGACCAAAGTCTTTGTAGTTCATGCACATTTTACATGGTTAGGTTTATAGAATTATATGATTTATACAGCTGTAAAACTCACCTCCTTCAGCAAATTATAGCCGTTCTGGTGCATGCAGAGGTCAAATCCTACAGAAATTTTCTTTTTGAATGTTTCTGCTAAAATAATTTAACGTGAAACTGAAGATAGTGCATTAAAAAATGTTAGCATGAACCATTATGAAATGTAGGAGGTTGGAGCTGTTTGAGATGACATTATTACATTTGGTTCTTGGCTGCACCCAACTAGCAGGAAGCGGCCCGTCATGGCATTTGTAACATTCAACCAGAAGCAGCAGGTCTTTTACTATCATTACAGTATAATTTATCGTTACTCCCATCAACGTGTGATTTTATCTATCTTAGTTTTTCTTTTGTTATCTTATGTTTCTTTTGTACAAAACTATGTAATCTTTCAGTAGCATTCTGCCTTAGTGCCTGGCTAATGATGGTAAACTGTGCTGGTTCAGAAGCAACAACACAGACCCAAATCATAATACCACCCACATGTTGCCCAAAATCCAATTCTTCCTCTAAATTGCAGTTTATATCTTGTAAAAAAAAAACAAATTACTAGCTAAACTGTTGTAGTTCTAGTTCTTGTTTTTTTCTGTTAAACAAAACATCGGTCCTCTGAGTTAAAATCTCGCTAATGACTTTTTTTAGACAGTTATTCATGAAAGTTGGTCTCTGAAAATGAACACTTGTGACACTTTTTGATTCTCAAGTACCATTTATAAAAGTTAACAAACCTGGTCAGTTGAAGGCATTTGACTCTTGTTGCACCTCTGCTTCCTTCTGCTACACTCTTGGTCTTCCAGGTTTTCATAATCAGCTGCATTTGCTTTTCCGATGGTAGTAAATTACATAAAATATCAAACTTTTAATGTTATAATGGAACAAAAATCTGCTTGGGTCCAATTTGGGGAAAATATTGTTTTTTTGTAGTTTTACAAAGTTCAAATCAGTTCAGTTCATTTAAATAGTGCTAAATCACATTTCAAGGAGCTTGAGAAAGTAAAACATTCCAATTGAGTTCAGTTAATTTTGTCAATCTAATCTAAGGAGCCCAGCAGATTGTATCAAGTCACTGACTTGTTGTGTCAGAGTCTTTACAGCAATCCCCAATAAGCATGCAGCAACGGTTGAGAGGAAAACTCCCTTTTAACCGGTATAGTTTATACTAACTTTCAGGGACATAAATTGCAGTTTATCAGAGTAATAGGTACAAAAGTAATAATAATTTAATGTATAAATGTGAAGTGCTTTTCAAACAATGGAACAAATAAAGCAAACGTGCTTCTGATAAGACTTCCCCTACAGTGTGCTACACATCCTCACGTCTGATTGGTTTACCTTTTATAATTTGTTGGGGCTTTTGCAGTTTTATGTGATTATTACGTGTTATGATTCTGTATTAGTTTGGCTGCAGGCATGTCGCTCTGTTTTGTTTATCCATTCAATAAATCACCATAGGGTTTATATTTAAAGTAAACCCCCTTTACTTTCTGAGTAATGCCTCTGAAATATGTAGAATTTCACATGCTTGATGTTGTTAGGAGAGAAGAAAAACATGTGAGTTTTTACCAGGTGTGTCAGAGAATATGCAGAGAAGAGTGCAGACGCAGCATAAACAGCTCTGCATATCCAATTTCCTGCAAGTTATATGGACTAAAACTACTAGTGTATTAAAGCAAGTGAAACGGGGTGAGTTGTGTTATGCTAATAGGTGCAGGTCTATAAAAACGTTTTTTTTTAAATCGGTCTAATTGATGTTCTTGTAAAATCTAGAGCAATATTACTTGTTAGCTAACAGATTTAGCTGTAAATTCAGATCATGTGATGAACTCTTCACTCATTTACACTCAGTTAAAGTATTCTTTTTTGTATTAAAGACGACACAAGCACATACCAATTCCACTTAATTAAAGAGGGATGTGCTAGCATGCTCCAGAGAGACCCTTGAACATTATACACACTGAAAGGTCGCTGTATTTGACAGCACAGTGCATTGCAGAATTGATAAGTCTGTCTTGTGGTCTCAGATGGAGTCAACACAGCGCTGGGACGAACAGACCGATGGCAACCCATATCTGCTTTGCCTACCAAGTGGCATTTAGCTTTTTTTTTTTTCTTTTTTTCTTCAAAGTATCTCCGCTCTGCCAAGACCTCTCCAGCGCTATGTCCTGAATTGTTCATGCCTGGAAAATCACCAACCAAATGTTCAGCTCATTATAATGATCATCTGCAATTATTTTCTTTGCCCTTTTCACAATATATAGCTCTCTAAAGCCTGTGCCTACTCATTCATTTTACAGCATCTGCGGCTTTGCGTCCCCGACTCGGTCCTTCTCATTATGTTCTCATTGTACCTGAGATTAATTTCCTCATATCCCAGGCTCTATACGAGTGAAACACAGGGAGCGGCATTAAAGGAGGCAAAGACATTTTCAGCCTTTGGTATCGTTTATTTCAGAGGTGTAGTGTGTAGTGTAGCGGTTTAGTGGGGAAGGACTGTGCAAGCATTTCCTAGAATAACTCTTGGCTGGTAAGCCACCCGTGGTCTATCTCTGTATGGTCCTGAGAGATTTGACTCAGAAGTGATAGTTTGTCTGGTTTTCCTGTGTTATTCAGGACCCAGCTCTAAATTTGCTACCAAGGTGCAGCATATTCAGGGTTGTGCCTCTCCACCTTACCTGTTGTCAGAAAAAGAAACAAGAACTTTTGTGCAACTTTGTGGTTTTTTTTTTCAAAGTTAAGGATGGGCAAAAAGTTGTTTGCCCTTCACCGTGTTACCTCACAATGCTTCGTGGTTGGCAGTCATAATCTGCCATCACTGCAGCAGTGTGTTACATCACCTGAGTTCCTGAGAAACTATCCACAGTAATAATCAAGGACAGAGTGAGCTAGTCTAGTCGAAGAGTTTCCTCCAAACAGGACGAAGAGCAATTAGAGAATAATCTGTTAACTACGAGCTTGTTTACATTTACATTTTGTTTTAAAAGATTGTTTAAACAGTTTTAACGTAACATTCTGTGAAGCCATAAGGTTGTCGGCCAAACGCTGGCGAAAACTTGAAATTGACGTTTGCAAGGGAGCTGCAAAATTTCTCCAAAACTTCCAAGAGTTTTTCATATCTGTACATGAGTCACAACACCTTGCTCTTGCATTTCAGAGGTTTAAATATCTTTCCATGAATTTTTTTCTCTTAAAATAGTCACACACCCATGTGACCCGGCCACTTATATAAAGTCTTGCGAGTTGGAATAACCAACCCAATAAGACTCCTGTCACCAACTAGTCGCCAACAATTGCAAACCAGTGATGCTAATATTCAGATCCCAATTTCCCCCTAAGTTATTTCACAGGGCAATTAACCTGGTTTACATGTCTACTTAAAATTTCGCTTTAAGATTTTACTGCGTTCACTAGTTTCTGTAGGAACTCTAAAGCATGAATCTGATCAATTTTCCACCCAACAGGATTCAAAGATGATAATTATATTCAAGCTTTCATCTCAGGTAGCAAAAGAAGGATTTGATTAATTCATTGCTTCCTAACTATATGTGAACATTTATGTGACGCGTGAGCAGAGAGCTCAATGTTAAGTGTAGTCAGGTTTTCATTAGTATCCCGTGTTGACGCGTTATCCTTGGGGATGATGAAGTGAGACGATTCTCAGTTTCTTTTGTTCTAATTATACACGTGCTTCATGGCTAACGGCAAAAGAGGTGAGGGCTGGAGAGAAAGAAAGACAGACGGATGGAATAGTGAAAATCGGAAGAACGTAGGTTTTCATCAGCAAAAATTAAGATGCTAAACTCGTGATGAAATATCACCTTTTTTTCATGTGTGCAAGCATCTCTGTGATTAGAAACCTCACTGAATCTTGGTCTCTGAGACGGATGCAGCCAGTCATGATTTTGGGACACTGGTTGCAAAAAAGAGGGTTCAGAGTCTCCCTTTCTTCACTATCAGCTATCTGTGCTTCTGTCAGTGTCCCTCAATCACTTTAATAGAAATTAGCTGGTTCTCATTAAAATGAGCAATGCATCGTCTCTGCGTAGCTCTCTCTCAAGGCTTTAGCTTTGCAACGTGGAATTAAAAAGCAACTCAAACAAGTTCAAAAAGTCATGCACATTCACAGTATTTATGTGCTGGAAAAGTAGGGTGTAATGTTCACACTTAGCCATTTAGAGAGCTTTGTCCTTCCTGCTCAGCCTTAAGGATTCCAGCGAGTGATTCATGCTAGTATTTGGCCTTTTCTTAGCCTGCCCCAGATCTTATCGCAACCCACCAGACTAATTCTGCATTCAGTAGAATGCACACCCGCAGAGAAAGCTTTCTCCAACTTATTGAAATGCGATGAGCGCTGTCTTGTCAGTTGTAAAATTGTCTGAAACCAAGACAAAAGCAGTGGAACTGCTAGCTCATAAATCACTGTGCAACATTCCCTTTGACACTTGCTAACTCAACATCCTACTATTATCAGGCTTTGCCAAATATCACTGCACAGATACTGAGCCACTGTGCAGAATCAATGAACTAGTCAAACAGCTGAGGATTGAAGAGCTCTGTTTGGATGGAAGAGTTGATAACAATACTGCGCCCAGAATGTTGTCCTGCACTTCTCAGTCATGAGAGAAATCATTTTTCTGTGTGTATAAATATTCAGCAGAGTTAAGCCAAATGGCAATTTCTCTACATTCTATATGCCACGTCTGTTTATCCGTATATGACTCTGGCTCGCCAGAAGGATTCCCAAATAAGGCCTGAAAGATCATTGCCGCAGTCTTGGCTGTTTTAAGTAGTTCTGTCAATCACTAACGTGTTGACAACACTCCCTCTGCATGCAATTTTTCAGAGTACACAATAATTTACATGCTGCAGCTGGACGTTCTTGCGCCGGCTACAACATCGCCTTGGCACAGGGACAGCTCTACATTTTGAAATATGCTGCACACTCTTGTGCTTGCAATTTGGCTAAAATGGTCCCCCCTTGAATAACGAGAATGTACATATCTTAATCTCATTTGATAGCTGTGCCTAGACAGAGTAATCTCTTCCAACATTATGTGCAGCATGAAGCTTATCTCTTTAAAGAGGATGCTTTTTCTTGTTTTACCATGAAACTGCTTCTGACTGAGAGAGCTTCAAAGGGCTCCTTTGTTTCATAATGTGCATGCAGCTCATTCATAGGGTTGATCTTCTTCTTATTCCCTCCCCCTGCTCTGCTTTTCTCATCTTTTTCTGTCCCTTTTTCTCTGTCTCAGTCTTGCTTCATCCCTCTCCTCCCTCCACTGATGTGTGGATCTCCACCTTACACAATTTATTGTAAACATTACGAAGGCATTTAGTCTTAACAACTACTGCCAGGTCTTCTGGTTTCTCGTGTGGATTACTGGTGCATTTCACTTCATTTGCTTCCAGCTTTACTTTGAGTCGATTTGAAGCTTCTTGAGCAAAAAGCCCTTTCCAATATGTTGGATTTTTCTCTTCCACTTCTTTTAATTCAAGGTGATCCAGTCTTGTACAGTAGCTAAATACAAGCCTATTGGTGTGTCTCCATTTTCCTTCTTTTTCTCTCTCATAATGATTCTGAAATGGTGCAAGGTTGCCTGCTCTATTCTAACATGACATGAGATAGGAGGATAAAGTGAAACCTCATTTTAGTGAAGATAAGAGAAATCTGATGAGAAATAGAAGAAGTAAATGAATCCCTTCAACCTGTAGTTACGTGGGAAATGGAGAGATGCAATTTGTTAAAAGGTTTGGTCAGTTTTCAAAGAGATTAATTACTTTTTAAATGGTTTCCCTTGATTGAATTTATTAGGTATGTTTAAAAAGAATCAAAATATGAAATTGCTGTGGATTAGTGTGTTTGCACATGTATCCAATTGACAGGAGTAAAGTACAAAAAGCATCTGTTAAACTTTACTCCTGCTTTTGTTATCAAAATGGTTAAAGAGGGTAGGAAATTAAGCTGTTTAATACAAGAAACAGGATGTTTTGTGATAAAAACATGTCAAGACACTGTAATACTGTCCCGAAAAACGGGATTTTCTTACTTTAGTGCTTTTGTTTTTTAAAAAGGTTGCCTCAAGTTAATAAATATAAATTCCTAAAAAAAAAAACATGATTTTTTTTACACTGAAACAAAACTATTTTGTGCTATTCTAATTGTCAGCTTTAGTCGTAAGCACAAAATAACCAAAGATGTCTTGTCTTTACAGAGTGTCAATGAGTTTGGCTTAGACATCATTGAAACCCCCGAAGGTGACAAGTGGCCTCAACTCATTGTTCAGCAGAACCTTGATCGGGAGCAAAAAGACACCTTTGTAATGAAGATCAAGGTTGAGGATGGTGGCAGCCCCCCCAAATCCAGCACTGCCATTCTCCAGGTCACCATCTCCGATGTCAACGACAATCGTCCAATCTTCAAGGAGAGTGAGTTGGAGGTCTCTGTACCAGAGAACGCTCCTATGGGGACGTCGGTTGCACAGCTTCATGCTACAGATGCAGACTTGGGCTCCAATGCACAAATCCACTTCGCTTTCAGCAACCAGGTCTCCTCCTCAACCAAACGTCACTTCACCATTAACAGCTCTACTGGGCTGATCACTGTGAAGCAACCGTTGGACAGGGAGGTCACTCCTGTTCATAAACTCATTGTCCTCGCCAGTGATGGCAGCTCAACCCCATCCAGAGCTACGGTGATTGTTAATGTCACAGATGTTAATGACAATGTTCCATCTATTGACACTCGCTACATTATCAACCTGGTTAACGGAACTGTTTTGCTGTCGGAGAATGCACCCCTCAACACCAAAATAGCCCTTATTACTGTTACTGACAAGGATGCAGATCTGTATGGCAAAGTGGCTTGCTACACTGACCATGACGTTCCTTTCCGGTTAAAGCCGGTCTTTAATGATCAGTTCCTACTAGAAACAGCTGCCCCTCTGGACTATGAGACAACCCGGGAATATGCTATTAAGATAGTGGCCTCGGACAGAGGGACGCCACCGTTGAACACCTCAGCTATGGTCTTAATTAAAATCAAGGATGAGAATGACAATGCACCCATCTTCCCCCAGCCTGAAATTCAGCTTTCCATACCAGAGAACAACGACCCCTCTACACAGTTAATAAAAATCAGTGCCACAGATGCAGATAGCGGATACAATGCTGAGCTCATTTATACTCTTGGCCCTGATGCACCTGATGGGTTTAATGTAGACAGACAGACAGGGATTCTCTCTGTTGGGAAGCACCTGGACAGAGAGAAGCAGGAGAGGTACTCTTTCACTGTCATAGCAAGAGACAATGGCTCTGCACCCCTACAGAGCAATGTCACCGTTAGGCTAATTGTCCAGGACCTTAATGACAACAGCCCAGCTTTCACACACCCTGAGTACAACTTCTACGTGCCTGAGAACTTGCCTCTGTATGGAACGGTTGGCTTAATCACAGTGACTGATGCAGATGCAGGAGATAATTCTGTTATAACCCTGTCCATTTTGAATGGGAAAGACAATTTTATCATTGACCCACATACTGGTGTGATCAAACCAAATATCACTTTTGACAGAGAGCAGCAAAGCTCCTACACATTTATGGTTAAAGCGGTTGATGGAGGGCAGCCCCCCAGCACTTCTTATGCCAAGGTCACTATTAACGTAGTCGATGTGAATGACAATCGTCCTGTGTTTGTCATGCCTTCCTCCAATTATTCATATGACTTAGTGCGGCCTACCACCACGCCTGGTTCTGTGGTCACTCGAGTGTTTGCCATTGACAATGACACAGGTATGAATGCTGAGCTGCATTACAGTATCATCAGCAGCATCATCATCACATCTAGGGTGTCTCCTCGAGGTCTCTTTTCCATCGACAAAACAACGGGTAACATAACACTGCAGGAGAAAATAGTATTAGCTGATCAAGGACTGCATAGGCTGGTAGTCAAGGTCAAAGATTTAGGCCAGCCTGAGTCATTACACGCTATCACTCTAGTTCACCTGTTTGTGAATGACTCTGTATCAAATGCAACCTTTATCCAAGAGCAGCTGCTGAAAAGCATGGAAACGCCGTTGGATCGTAATGTAGGGGACAATGAGGTAACGCCTCAGGCTAATGGATATGTAATTGTCGTCATTGCTATCATAGCAGGAACCATGACTGTCATCTTGGTGATTTTTGTTACTGCCTTGGTGCGCTGCCGGCAGACACCAAGACATAAGGTGGTACAAAAGGGGAAACAGAGTGGAGAGTGGGTGTCACCCAATCAAGAGAACCGTCAGATCAAGAAGAAGAAGAAAAGGAAGAAGCGATCCCCCAAAAGCCTTCTCTTGAACTTTGTGACTATAGATGAATCAAAGCCTGAAGACCCCACACATGAGCATGTTAATGGCACACTGGATCTTCCTGTGGAACTGGAGGAGCAAACCATGGGAAAGTACAATTGGGCAACCACACCCACGACCTTCAAACCTGACAGCCCAGATTTAGCCAAGCATTACAAATCGGCATCCCCTCAGCCTACATTTCAGATCAAACCAGAAACTCCAGTGGCACCTAAGAAACACCACGTGATCCAGGAGCTCCCCTTGGACAACACGTTTGTGGTGGGCTGTGACTCACTCTCCAAGTGTTCCTCGACTAGCTCCGACCCATACAGTGTCTCAGAGTGCGGCTGTCAGGGGGGATTCAAGACTGCGGGGCAAATCACCACCCGGCAGGTAATTCATGACTTCCTTTTTAAACCCATCCACACTAGTTCCCACTCTCACACTCCCATTGCTGTTCCTTGGTAGGTTGATGTAAAAGAGGGAGGGTGGAAGCATGAAGCCAGGGGAACTACACATAAACCATGACCATGTCTACATAAATGTCACTTGCACTTAAACATGGGAATGGCACATAATTAATCACAATTATTAGTCCAGACCTTCCACTGTACTGTTAATTCCAATTTTCATCCTCCAGCCACAAGTGTACTGCCAAAATGCATTCTAAGGTTAATTTTGAATTCACTAGCTTCAGTAATAAGAGAGATGATGGCGCCCAGACATTTTTTTACCTTGGCGGTGATTAGTTGGTGGCAGCAGCTTGATTTAGAGGGCTGTATGATGGGGGACAGTGATTGAACTCTCCACTGATGAATTTAAGGTTTTAAGGTCAAGAGGAAATGGAGCTGTGTATTTCTGGCAGATTTGTTTAATAACGCATGTAAAAAGATTCAAAGGCTGCTCATTTCATCAGGTAGTCATTAAGCCAGAAAGTGTGCAACACAAGTACAAACACAAAAAGGCTATTGGTGTACTAGAGTGATTTGACAAATAACCTCACTCTATTTTTTTGGCTTCTTTCCTTAAAACAGTGTCTTGAATGTGCCACTGAGGCTTTGTAAAAGTGAAGCTAATTTGAATACTAAGGCACAGCACAGCGCTTCTGATTCCCTAAAAGATATGTGCCAAACGTGAAGTGCCCCAATAAATAAAAGCTGGCAAGGAAAATAAATGTAAATCAGATGTGAGTAGAGGTGGCCTTACTCAGTCCTGACAGCCCAAGCACAGCGCTGTTTGGAAGACTGAGTGCTGCTCGGGACAAGGGAGGGGGTCACGAGGATCAAGGTGATGCAGAGCCTTGAGACCAATATAGTTAAACACCAAGGGAGCAATAGTCCATAAAAAAAGCCTGCCAGGCCAACTCTGCACTAAGCCCATAAATGTTCTCCTTTAATGACCCCAATTATTGTTATAAATGGCATATGTAGATACACACTCTTGCAGTTTTTTTTAATTAGCTGATCTCTGAAAAGATCTTTCCCACTTTGACGCTTTTTAGCGAATGTCTAACTCAGAATAATGCTTATTGTTGTATCTCTAATACGTGATTATGTGTTTGACCTGCCGTCATCTGCACAGCTGAATTAAACAGGGCTGACTAGTGTGAGCACAGGAGGGTCATTTACTCATAGCGACACAGACCTTGCCGTAGCTTTAGCTCCGTCTCAAACATCCTCCCATCGTAGCAATTTCCTTTTAACCTGTTTCATTAGGAGTTTTCTTTTTTTTAAGCTTTTTGAAGCTGTGTTTGTTGTTTGGTTGTATGGGCTTTGGTTTCTGTTCGAGTTTTGAGCATAATTGTCGTAACTGCCACTCATCCATTTCTGGGTCAATTTCACGATATTGCATCAATAACATATTTAAAATTTTATTTATTCAGAAGGTGATCTCCTTTGTGTGTGCCTTCAGCCTTATATTGCTCATTGTTTTCTACATGTCTGGTTGTATCACGCCTTATTTCCCTCACATTATCCTTCTGTGTGACGCGTAGCAAGCATTCCTCATAGCATAGCTGCATTAAATGACTGTTGATCCTGTAAAGTATCGTACTTAGCCTAATTTATGAAGACACCCACACAGAGCTTGCAGTCATCCCCCTCATCCACCTTTTATTTGAAACTCTAGTTAAGAGCTTTGCCCTGCCATGGTACATCATACATAAGCCTGCTACATGCCCCTGGTGTTGAAGATTTAATCCATAATGTGTTTATACGACACACTGTCAAGTTGTCAGCATGCTTTTCCCCTTTTTCACGTAACAACTTCCAGAAAAGATGCAGAAATATTCCAATTATGTTCGACAATTCTGAGTTATTATCCCTTGTGAATTTAATGCATCGCAGATTTAAATTGATTCTCAGTTATGGTGCTGATCAGAGTGGAGCATTTTTATGCAGATAATTTAAAAATCTATGAATATTTGATTAGCAAACATTCTTCAGGCTGTGTTTGTATCCGGTTCTTCCTAAGGTGTGTTTATTCACTCTTCTTTGTGAGATTTCACATGACAGCCCTCTCGGATTTGAATGTGAAATAGTTTTACCAATAGAAAATTCTATTTTCAAAGATGATATTCTCATTGGATACAGCTGTCTTCAACACTGACAGAATATCTCATTTTTTCGATCGCCTTAAGCAAGTGGCAAGTGATTCCTCCCACTTTTACATTTCCCCCCAGTTTAAAAGTGTGCTTATTTAAAGCCCGTGTCACGGAAAAAGACAGTATGAAGCTAGGCCCAATGAGAATTGGTGGCTGTAAGGTTAATTAAATGCACTAAAGGGTTAATCACTCGTAATACAGTATGATTAAAATCACCGTAATTGGTTTGCGAATGAGGCTGATAAGGAAGAGGGAAAGAGGCAGCTGTCCTTTAAGATTATCAGGAATGCCACAAACTATCCGTGGGCGATTCAAGTGATGTGAAGGTAGATGACCGGCAGCCCTGTTTGCCCGGGCCCAATTACAATTTCATCTCACTTTGATTTAATCTTTTGTGCTTCCGTTCTTTTCTTTAAGAAATTCTTCTTTTCTTTCCCAAGTCCTAAGAAGAACACTTGAAAACAGCACTTCAAAAGATGTTGTTCTTGGCTTTTTTTTTTTTACTTTTTTATTAGACGAGGTAGAAAAAAAGGGAATACGCAAGCACTCTGGAATTTGTCAAGACGATCTGAAGTGCTGTTGTGAAAACCAAAGCGGCATTTGTTCTTTCAGTGCCAGACTTTCTGTCTCTCTTCAGCGCGACCTATAATGCCAGAACTCCAAAAGCAGAGATCAGAGGCACGTTGTTGTTTCTTCTTCATCAAAGTGACAGACAAAGCTTTAGTGACTTGGTAGTGCACCCAAAGTCGGCCACAACAGTCCTCATAACTAACTAAAGAAATAAAGATCATTCCACCCATGGAATAACAATCAAGAGGGGAACGCAGGAGGAGATAATTACGGTTGAAGGTCACCAAAATGTTTTCAGGGACTTTACAGATGTAGCTGATAAGAAGTAAAGCTTGTAAAAACACTTCAGAGACTGCAGATTTGTGCCACCATATGGCTTCATTATACAGCGAGAGCAGTATTTGCAAATGCCAGCCATCCCTTTTTCACCCCCCCACCCCCCCACCCATTCTCTTCACCGTCTCATCATTTGCTTTTAACCCCCCCCCACCCCCTTTGATATTAGAGGTCAGTCTGCCTCCAGTGATGAGGAGCGCTTGTTAGAGCTTTTGAGGGGACAGATCAAATAACTACCAGCTTTAGCGGTTCCAGACGTCACGTTTAATACACAGAAGAAAAAAAGGGTTAATGAATTCCTTTGTTGAAAGGTTGCTGTTTTCCAAATCCAACCTCCTGTGGCAAAATGCAGAATTATGTTTTGTTAGTGCTGTTTAGTATCGCACATGCATAAATTACACTTTGATTAAATACTCCTTAGACTAATGGATCTGTTGCTTTGCCTCACTTAGGTTAGCTTTTCTCACATTTGTTGTTTTGTGACTTAAAAGCGCTATAGAAAGAGGTCATATATGTATATATATACATATATATATATATTTATTTTTTTTATTTTTTTTCGCAAATGACTTGTGGAAACAGACACTCAACGTTCCCGTCATTCAGACTTTTGGCATCATGATTGTGGTTTTGCTTGTTTTTTTTACCATTATCATTCCGTCTTCGTTTGATTTCTGTTGAGCCATTGCGTCTGCAGTCACTGTGTATGTCTGATGTAAAGCACTGCCAGGTCAGATTGATTATCCCTGTTCTTTTGGATATCACAATATCTTCTGTACATATCAGAGGACCCATTGGCAAGGGTCCGAATGAAAGAGCGGGCCTAAATTGATTCAAACGTTTGTTTCAGGGGAAACTGGAGAGTGCTGCACTAGTGTGGTGGGAGACAAAAAATGACAAAATAAAGATACAAATTGGGAGTTATAATTGGATACGACTGCATGCTCTGATAAGTACAGGAAAACACCCAAACCTGTGACACCTGGAGCATTCTTCACGGAAACCTGACATGATAATGACTTGATTGCCAGCAGCACCTTGTATAATGCTTTTCTATTGATGCATTTTTGTCACACACTTTTTCCCAGAGATGTTTTTTCTTTTCGATTCATTCATTTTTTTCAATTTAGCCTCACACTGATAAGGCTACAGCTTAGGTTGCTCAGAGCTCGTTGACATTGTAACGACAATCTCCCTATATCTGTCTGTCTCTCTATATTTCAGGAGATGGCACTGAACCCACCACACTATGGCACACTCTGTGGCACAGGTACAGCTCGCTCCCACAGGATTAAAATCAATCTCTAGCTCCCACTTCCTAAAGCGAGACAAAAGAGAGAGAAAAGAGAGGGCAGAGAGAATGAGAGACAGAGAGAGGAAAGAAGGAAGAACTGAAGAGGTGAAACGAGTACTTTACTGTCTCTGCAGCCTGAAAGCGCACATCTTCATTCAATTGAGATGAATTTGGAAAGGAGGGGACGTGTGGATGGACAGGGTGTGGGCGGCTAAGAAAAGGAGACTTCATGTTGTTAACTGAAACTTGACAAAGCTCCTTTTGTGAAACCGTTGGAGATTTTTAAATGCTTTACCGAGTCCCATGCTACGTACGTATTACCTGTTCCAGTGAGGATGACTTGCCCTGGACTTTGCCCCCTCCCTCCCAAACTCTGCCCCGACCCTTCCCCGAGTTTGAGCTCTCAGTCTGTAACATAGTTGTCAGTAGATCTGTACAATATGTTTATATGTATGTATGTATGTATATCTATCACAAACTTGATGGTGTTTATATTTATTGACTGCATTTCTTTGCCTTGTTTTCAAAACTGCCTGGTGGCCATTTTATTTTCTTACCTTATATGTTTTATATTATTGTTAATTACTGATA